AAAATAAAAATGAATAAAGATAACAAAAATAAAATAATAATAATAAAAAAAGAGTCCGATAAAATATAAAATAACTTAAAAGGTCTTAGGTAGGGGTGGGGGCCCAGGAGCTATCCTAAATTGAGGGGAGGGGGGAATTGTTTCTCAAAGTAATCCAGGAATGGTTGCCACATCTTAAAGAATTTCTGAGTGGAGCCACGTATGGTAAACTTAAACTTCTCCAGCTTAAGGTGGGACATAACACTCTTAACCCAATGTGTGTGAGACGGAGGTGTAGTCGCCTTCCACCTGAGAAGGATGAGGCGTCGAGCTAGGAGGGAAGAGAAGGCTATAGCGCATGTCTATTATGTTTAACAACACAAATGCTTTGAATTATAAAAAAAAAATCTTCTGCATGGATTTAGATTTTTTTTCATGCCAGTTGCGAGTCCGATGATGTTACAGAGGTGCAAAGTAGTACTCAAGTTTTACAAATGTAAGAGTGTAGTTTCACTACCAAACATACGAACACAGCATTGAAACTTTCTATCAATCCCATATAAACTGGTCTCTGGGATTTGCATTCCATTACAACAGGGCTGCCTGCTTGAAGATGTATCTTAAACTGGTGATGGCTCGTCCTGAGTGATGACGTTTAAAAGCAGCCAGCTGATTCACGGCCAAAGTCCCCTCTTATTTAATGTTGCATGTGTTTTTTCATCACACAGTCGGGCAGGTAGAAGAAGTTTACCTGTTGGAGGTGAGCTGTTTGCATAGGTGCAGTAAGAGCCTGTTGTCTGCAGCTCTTTGTCAACATCTCACTGTGGCTGTTTCTGCTTTTACTCTTCCTCCCTGCTGTATTATTAGACTTGCCTGTATTGAAGAAAAGCCGCGGACAAAGTTCCACTACTTCAATCATCAATCAATCAATCAATCGATTTTATTTATAAAGCCCAATATCACAAATCACAATTTGCCTCAGAGGGCTTTACAGCATACGATACCCCTCTGTCCTTAGGACCCTCGCTTCAGTAATAACACAGTTCATTTTCTGTAGATGCTTGAAAATCGAAGTCCCCTGTTGTTTTGTTATTAACACTTTCCCTGCCAGATCATAATTTTTAAAGTTGCCATCTACTGCCAACATTGTTGATCACTCATCTTTCAAGAATATGTAATGAATATGTAAACAGAAAAGACATGAAACTGAAGACGAGACCTTCTGTTTCTAAACACACACACACACACACACATACACACACACACAGTAACTTATTAGACTTTTATCAGAAAGATTTAAGGAACATTGTGACATTATTTAGGAAATATCATCAAGGTGGCACAGTGCTACAGTGGTTAGCATCGTTACCTCACAGCAAGAAGGTTCCTGATTTTAACCCTGGGTCAGGGCTGTTTGAAGACACTCTGGGGGCCCCAGGCAAGAAGCACCTTGGACTTTGAACTTATCCCACAGTAGTGGTACCGTGAGATACTGCTGTGCAGTCCCGCACAATGCGGGACGTCTGGTCACCTTACTTAGTCACTCGCAAGCAGCAGCTAGTAGGGGGCCCCATTAGGGGGGATTCCAACGTGTTGTCGTTGTTGCAGTGTCTATAGGGGTTCCATCATATTGTCATTGATATGGATCAATGTCAGCCGTCTCTGGGGGCCCCCTTCCAGCTCAGGGCCCTAGGCCCTATTGCCTAGTTTGCCTGTCCGGTTGCAATGGCCCTGCCCTGGGTGGGGGGTTCAAATCCCAGGATGGGGGAGCCCTTTTGTGCAGAGTTTGCATGTTCTCCCTGTGTCAGCGTGGGTTTCCTCCAGGTGCTCCAGCTTCCTCCCACAGTCCAAAGACATGCAGGTTAACTGGTGACTCTAAATTGTTTAAATTGTATAGGAGCGCCAGTAGTGGGCAGTAGACAGCAGAGTGCTCATTGCTTAGCTTCATTGGTTGCACCTATTTGCACCTTACTGTTTATTTTGTTCTATGTTTTGCACCTTATTGATGGCTAGTTTTTATATTTTGAACCTTACTGTGAGCCAGCTCTTATATGTGTCATTTTATGGAAACTGTTTTATCCATTATATCCAGATATCAGCCAGTGACGGGTTGGAAATATTCAAAGTAATAGAGCCAAAATTCTCTGTGTGGTCAAAACTAACATTAGATTTAGAATGCAGTTAAATGTAAAATCAAGTTTTATACAAATGCATTTTGAAAGTGTCATTAAAAAATAGTTTTCCCCATGTTTTTTTTGTATGAGGGATGGATATGTTTTGCTTGACAGAGAAATTTTGAAAGAAAAATGTACCAAAAGTGTTCTAAACCCTTAAATGATATAATTTCTTCTTACTGGCGTCTTTTTGTGCAGAAAAATATTGGTGTGACAGGGTGGAACATAAAACTTAGGGACACATAAATCATACTATTTTCACCAAAAAGTTTGTTTTTTTTAAATTTCCTTTAATGCTCCTTAAACAAAACCTCCAAGATTTATGTAGTTATTGAGTATTGAATATGAGATATGGTCAGAATGGGAATGCAAAAATGACTATAGTTGAACAGAACACAGTTGAAAATATTTTAAAAATGCATTTTTATTTTATTTATTTATTTTTTTTTTCAGTTTTATTTTACTTAATGTTAAAGTACCTGGATTAATATTCTTACCCACTGAAAACAATATTGGCAGTTTTTTTTCCTTTTAAATCTTTGGGACCCAAACTCATGGAATAATTCAGAGGCAGCGTCTAACATCAGGAGTAAACCCCAAATAATAAAGTCCTATCAGACATCTAAACTTTATTCAGAAAGGAGAACAAGCCAGACACGCACAGCGTAAAGTTAAGTTTCACACCTCACAAACAAACAGTAGTCTGTTTGAACTAATGAACATGATACAGACATTATGCTAACATCTCTGTTGATGATGCTGGTTGGAGCTGTTATTTATTTTGGGGAATGTAGTTCAGTTTTCCAGCAGGTTTAAAACATGAAGCACTTCCACAAAATTTAAACTCTGTCGTCTGTTGATGAATCTGATTGTGGTTTCTGCTGTGCTCTGTCTTACAGGGGTACGGGGTCAATGGAGAGTGACTTATGCTCCTACTCGGGTCTGTGCCACCAAAGGATCAACAGTGGATATGCACTGCACCTATACGTACCCATCAACTCATACAGTAGATAGGGCATTCTGGTTTACTATATCAGATAGTGTCCCTTTGGACAGCGACTCAGACTACACAGGCCGTGTGGAGTATGACTGTAATGAGAACAACTGCACTCTGAGAATCACAAGCCTGACCGGGGGCGACTCAGCTCAGTACTATTTCAGGTTCACAACAACACCAACCAATGCTTATACTGGTCCAGCTGGAGTCACTTTGTCTGTCACAGGTAACATAAAGGTGTATTGATTTTGTTTCAAATGTTGAGCATGTTACAAACATTGTACAAATGTGTGTGTGTGTGTGTGTGTGTGTGTGTGTGTGTGTGTGTGTGTGTGTATGTTGACAGTTAACTTTGAGGAGATTCAGCATAGTATTACTTCAAATTAAAAACACTATGATTTTAACGCAGGAATAGCTTAGTGCATGCCAAAATTAATTGGAAATCCTTTAAAGTGAGTCATTTCACTTAGAGGTCCAGTGTTTAAAGGGCCAGTGTGTAATATTTGGCATGGTTTATTGTCAGTCTGAATCTGAATCTGAATCTTCTACCCATTAATATGTTTATACAAGTGTATGATCGCTATAAAATAAAATTTGTTTGGTTTTCGTAGCCTTATAATTATGCTTATATATATATATATATATATATATATCAAGGGCCTTGCTTTAGAGAGGTCGCCATCTTGCGCCGCCATGTATGTACGGCAGACCGAGTGGACAATCCAGCCAGCCAGAGAACTCGTTTCGCGTGTATAAATGAACCAACGAAGACAGCGGAAGGAAAGAAGAAGGAGGAGGAAACAGCAGACAGTGTTAGTAGTTCGTTGATAGAGAGTAGTGAAAAGTTTTTTTAGTTATAAAGTTTGCGAATGGACCACACTTACCACGCAACAGGAGAGAATGAACCCGAACCGTCATCTGCGAGGAAAAGAAGACGCAACTTCACTCCTTGTGATGCACTCTCTGCGGCACTTTTCCTCCTGGTGATATATCTCCCCAACAATGGCAGCAGTAGCACCGAATCCCATTCTGTGCATTCAGCCTCTCTTCTCGCCCGCTCAGCATCAAACACATGGAGTTCCTCATCTGTATGCTCCGGCTCTAACAGGTATGGCTCTGGGTCTGTGTCCGCTACAAGAAACTCTTCAAAATCGCGTTCAAAGTCGTCCATTGCAGCTACTATAGTCCGGAGATATTGCTAGGCTAAATAAACAGCTGAGCTCTGTTTACCGGCTACGCTGTCAGTCAGTGTGCAGGCTGGAGATTGGTGGGGCAGAGAGGGGAGGGGGGTCCCCACTCAGCTCGGTATGGTAAACGAGTATGTGTGTATGAAGTGTGTCTGTTACGCTAGAAGAGTCAGAGTTTGGGATGGAGTGGTGTGTTACCGGAGTTTCTGGAGTGCTCAAATAAACTGGCCTTTTTCCCGAACGCTCCTCTGGTCTCCTGCTCGTGAGGGATTCATTACAATATCGTAACATGGTTTAGATTTCTAAATAAACATTCACCTCATCGCTAGATAGACCTACTCCTGAAAAAGTCGTGCGCAAGGCTTTTTGTCCCTACGAGGCCACTGTCATTTACCCGACGGGACGGGTGAGCGAGTGAGCCCTGCAATCTAGAATTTGGCCACTGATGTCACTGTTTTCAACCCATTTTACACACTGGGCCTTTAAGATTAAGGGTGATTTAGTGGAATCTAGCAGCGAGCATTGCAGATTGCAACCAGCTGAAAGTTTTCCAGGTTAATATTCCTTCCATGTTTATTGTTTATAAGGTTTTTACCAGGAGCTGAATTTATCTGCAGAGGTCTCTTCCTCCATAAAACAAACGGACCCGGTGATTTAAACTGGTAAAAACACTGAATAAAGCAGTTTAACATATAATCTGTGTTTTTCCAACACTGCTCATTGCGAAGGGGCTGCTAACTACGCCAAAACGTGAATAGATTTATCTTGAGCCAGTGTTTGAACAGAAAGGAATAGAAAAGAATGTCTTTAATGACACTGTACATGTACAACAAAGATGAATGCAACCTCATCAGTGCTAATATAAGTAAAAACAATAATATACCATTATACCATTTGTGACCAGATAAAAGCATCACTCCGACAATACAGTACAAAATGGTGACACTATACCCCACACAGAGAACACCTTTGTCCCAACACAAAAACAATAACTATATAGTGAAAAGGTAAAGTAAACAATAATGAATATTTCACTTAAAAAAACACACATGCAGGGGATCTAGCCCTTGTATTGCAATCAAGCATTTTTCCACAGTCTCAGTGCATTCATTTATTGGGCTCAGCGACATCGGTAAGAAGGTCACTGTTGATGTCAGGTGTTTTGTGCTTGAAGGACAAAGGGTGTTTGACTAATAAATGTAGTAGCTAAGGCTTTGACTTACAGCTCTCTAACCTTGCCTGACTGGACTGATGCACTTGCTTTGGTTTGATGCCCTTTGTTGTGATGTGTGTCGCGTTCAGAAAAAGGATCTGCAGGCCTTGGTTGCAGAAAGTCCATTTCTTTATTTCCATCGCACACAACTTTCAGTGCTACCAACAAATCCTCCGCGCCACAGCGGAGCCTTTATTGCCTATATTGCTAAGGCCCAAGACACCAGTGCAGCGACACCCAGGGATGGGCAGTATTTCTATTACTTGTATTTAAAATACGTATTTCAATTACATTTGAGTATTTTGTAATTTGTATTTGATAAGGCCGATAAAAAGCAAATGTAATTTGTAACAAAATACTTTTGAGTGAAATAATTTTGTATTTAAAATACTCAAAAAACTTCCTCCACGAATCAAAAAACAAAAATAATAGCCGACACATTCTTATAATATCAGATGTAACAATATTTTTTACTTTAAATTTATTTTTTTTATCTATATGGTTTTTTTTTAAACTTAAAAATAACATAGGAAATTGTATGCTGTTGTGGTTGATGCTTGGAATGAGTATGCTACAATTAATTACCTCACATGGGATCAATAAATTTGTCTGAATCTAAATCTGAATCAATAAATAATATTTTAGGGTAGCCTATAGCCCAAACCTGAATACTCTGCTATACCAAATTGTGAGAAAACAAGCGTAAATTTACAATAGCTGCGACCAAATTTGCCACTATCATGCCATTAATGGATAAATCATGGTTGTTCTTTCTGGTACAGTTACTCATGGTCTCTAGTTGCAGTATGCAAATTTTGAGCATTTTTGGTCAAGGACCTTTTGAATTATTCACGAAAAGCTTTGTGGACTGACCGACCAACCAACCGACCAACAGAGTGACCTACAGAGCTGCAGGTCGCTGCTAAAAAGAAAAAGAAAAAAAGGATTTTCTGTATTTGAAAATACAAAATACATGTATTTTATTTTGATACATTTATTTGAGGGGTATTTTGTATTTTGTATCAAAATACATTTTGATGTATTTTTGCCCATCTCTGGCGACACCCAGTGTACACATGGTGACTACAATTAATGTCTGGTTGGTTAAAGAACATATTTGGCTCTTATATTGGTAGATGAGGACCTGCTTCCTATGTAGACATAAATGGCTCATTCTTAGGTAACAAAAACACAACAGTTCTTACTTTCAGGGGATTAAAAACTAAAGAAATTATATGATATTCCATTGGCAATCTATTCTACTGTATGCTACACAGTGGACCTTTAAAATAGGGCCTAAAAACATTGTACAACAAAAAAGAAATGTACTCGACAAGATGTCAGAGCTGATTTTCTATCAGTAAAATGTAGCTCTTTATTGATATAAAATATACCAATATACTGTATACCCCTAAATCCTACACACTGGACCTTTAAAAGCATAAATGTGAACCTCAAAGTGATGCTGGATAAAACGTCAGGGGGTCATCAAAGTCAGTGGTGTCATCCTCTGAGGAGTGTGCATGTTTGTGCAGCATTTCATGGTGATCCATCAATATATTTCAGCCTGAATAAAAATGGTGGACTGACCAGCATTGCTGAATAAGTAATGTAGAACAAGTTTATATGAAACTGATTTTGATCATATGATCTGAAGTATTTTGGTAATCCAATCAAACTTCAGGTCAACCATATGTTTTAGTTATAGACTCCCTATGTATTTATTTAGTGTGAGGTTTTTCGAGGTGTGTTTCTATTAACCGATGACTCTGTGTCCTCCTCACATATCCAGACCTCCAGCTGCTCGTGAGCGAGATAACGGTCAATCCATCTAATACTGAGGCAAAACTGAAGTGTCAGACAACCTGCACGCCTCTTTCTTTTGTCTGGTTCAAGAATGGACAGGAAGTTCCTGAACAAACCAACTCATATTTAGGCTTTTTAGATCCTGGAGACAACATCTCCTGTGCTTTGAAGGGACATGAGGATTACCGCTCTCCTACACTGTGTGAGTTCACTTCACTGTGTCATAAACAAAATGTCAATCTTTAGCCCAAGGTAACGACTGTGGGTGTCCATCAATCAAAGTTGATTGCCCACTTTATTTAATGTGATTCAAATTTAATGATTTTGACCTTTTCGGTCAGTCAGCCTTTATGCAAACTGTTGGTCACTTATAGGCTACATGAGCTTCCACTGTAAAAGATTGTGCTCATCTTTTAAACATGGATGTTTTTTTCTTCCAGATGCTCCAAAGCTTCCCTCTGTGTCAGTGAGTCCCTCTGGCGATATAATGGAGGGCAGTTCAGTGAACCTGACCTGTAGCAGTGATGCTAACATAGAAGCTAATTACACCTGGTACAAGAATGACACATACCTGTATACTCTCAGTGAAGAACCACAGCTTGTCTTCAGCTCCATCCAGTCCTCTGACACTGGACTGTATTACTGTGCAGCTGAGAACGAGCTGGGGAGGAGGACGACTGAATACTTCATTGACGTGAAATGTGAGTAAAAACCTTATTTTAAAAAAAAAAATTATTACACATAGCAGATAGTTTGCCTGCTAACAGATATGTATGGGAAATATAGTTATGTGGACAAATGTATTTTTAACTAAAACACAGCTAGAAATCTTTGACACATGTCATTCATAGCTGGACTTTAAATGGTATTAACTTGTCTGTAGGCTACTGTTCAACAAAGTTGGACATATCATCAGACACAATTTAAATAGGCAAAATAAAGCATTTAACTGCCTACCTACTTATTTATAGTAGAAGCACAAATATCAAGGAAAAATAACCAAATAATATTAATAATTTTATTTATAAGAGCGCCTTTCAAGTCACCAAAGGACAAATCCAGATGAGACGGTCAGTACATAATAAAAGATAACGACAAACAACAATGATAACAAAGAACAAAAATAGTTCTGGTTCGATCCCGGGTGTGGGAGCCCTTCTGTACGGAGTTGGCATGTTCTCCCCGTGTCAGCGTGGGTTTCCTCCAGGTGCTCCAGCTTCCTCCCACAGTCCAAAGACATGCAGGTTAATTGGTGACTCTAAATTGTCCGTAGGTGTGAATGTGAGCATGAATGGTTGTCTGTCTCTATGTGTCAGCCCTGTGATAGTCTGGCGACCTGTCCAGGGTGAACCCTGCCTCTCGCCCAGTATCAACTGGGATAGGCTCCAGCCCCCTCGCGACCCCCAACATGAAAAGTGGTTAGAAAATTGATGGATGGAAGAACAAAAATAATGAAATGCAAATACAGATAAAATGAAATCCACAAAATGGGGTAGGCAAAACAATGTGCCTCTGAAACAGTCCCTCCTGGCTCCCTTACAGTTTATACGGATGTGAGGATAAATATGGGTAGTCATCTCATAACATGCCTAACTTCAGTGGATCATAACAAAGCTGGTATGTAATTAATTTTTGTTCATGTAATTGTTCAAATAAGTCCAAACTTTTCTATGGATATCAGAGTTTGAGCCATGACAAAGGCCAAAATGTGGCCTGCATCAGACAGTACAGGTGGTTGTTTCAGCCGAGCCGAATTCCATAAAAATTATGGCTCCTATCTTCCGGTGAGGAGGAGTGAGGAGTCAGCACTAATGACGCGATAAAACAGTCAATAAAACAGGATTTTCAACAGTTGTGAATCACTGCAAACACAACAGGTCCTAAATCATACAGTCACAACAGATGGAAACACACACTCAACCATGCACACATACAGTAAGACCAAAATCATGATTTCCTCCAGGTGTGGACGGATTGTGAGACAATGAGCCCCTGGGTGCAGACATGCAGAAGTCCCCAACACCTCTCTTACACAGGAGCAAGACACACTTTGTTAAGCTTCTGTTGTTGGTTTGTGTCTCTGTTTATTGTGTCTCTTTGTGGTTGTTTCATGTTTCTTTGTGGTCGTTTTGAGTCTCCCCCTGGTCAGCACGTGTGTCCTCGTGTGACATTTTGCAAGTGCAGGCCAAGAGGACCACTGACACTTTGGGCCTCTGGGCCTGTGTCCTGCAGGCCCAAATCCTTCCATGCCTTCAGGCGTACGCCCAGCAGACATAAAACGCTAGAGTTTGTGAGGCAGTATGTGGCTGCACTTCTGAGTAGCTGTGTTAGATGCATGAGGGACAGTACAAGTCACTGTTGACATCCAGATTTGCCCTGCTGCTTGCTGCTGTTGTGACATAACTGTTTAAATATGTGTGGCACTAAAGCAACGCATCCTGCTTTTGTAGTAAATTGATGTTCCCACATCTCCTCCAGATGCTCCGAAGCTTCCCTCTGTGTCAGTGAGTCCCTCTGGTGAGATAGTGGAGGGCAGATCAGTGAATCTGACCTGTAGCAGTGATGCTAACCCAGCAGCTTATTATACCTGGTACAAGAACAACCAAACACTGCTTCAAGGACCAGAAGTCATCTATCAGTTCAGCTCCATCAGCTCTGAGGACAGAGGGATCTACCACTGCAAGTCTGAGAATCAGTATGGAGAGATAAACTCTTCATCTCTGTATTTAGATGTGCAGTGTAAGTCATGTGATTAACAAGTCTACTGTATTCCTTGTGATGCAAAAAGTCTGTCTATATCACGCATGCTAATATTTAATGATCAGCCACAACATTAAAACTATTGGCAGGTAAAATAAATAACAATGATCATTTCGTTCCTGTGCAGTATTCTGCTGGGAAACCATGGGTCCATGCATTCATGTGGATGCCATATGACATGCACCACCCATCCAAACCCTGTTGCAGACCAAGTTTCCCCCCCTCGCAGCAGCGGCACACCATGACGGCATCGGCAGCAGGACAGTGTTCAATGCTACACTGCAGAACTGCTCAGGGACGAAACAAAGAACATGATAGAGACCTCAAGTCACGAACATGGCTTCCAAATTCTCTAGGTCCCAATCAGGGCAGACTCTGATCCGTCATACCTGTCGAGGCATGGACACAGGACCTCTGGGGGGTTATTGGGTGTCTGGCACCAGGGCAATAGCTGTAGATCCTTTGAGACCTGCATGCTGTGAGGTGTGGTACTGGCACATCCCAGACACTGATGCTTGATCAGATTGGAATCTGGTGACTGTGGAGGCCAAGTCAGTGCCTTAAACTCTTTGTCATGTTCCTTGGGTCATTCCTGAGCAGTTTTGTGGTGTGGCTTGGTGCATTGTCCTGATGGTGTCAGGAAGTGCTGCGGCCATGAGGGGGTGCACTTTGTCTGCATTGGTGTTTTGGGTGGGTGGAGCGTGTCAAGTGGCATCAACATGAACTCCAGGACCCAAAGTTTCCAAACAGAATATTGTGGACGCCCAGTAGCTCATCAAGTAGCTGGGCAGGCATCTCACGTGCAAAGGCGATGTCCTTGCCACAGGGGCCACAGATTCGCCCTCAGCCCGTGGCCGTTTGCAGCATGTCATCGCATGATTCTCTCTCCCCTTTTCATGTTCAAACTGTCCTGTCAAATAAAGGCAAAAGCCAAAAATTAATCTTAAAAAAAGAATATTTGACTGTAACAAGAATTATCTGTGTAACTAACATCACCTGTCAGTGGTTTGAAAGTTGCGGTTGATTTTTGTAATTATAATATTTCTCTAAATACTTTCCTTCAGATGCTCCAAAGCTTCCCTCTGTGTCAGTGAGTCCCTCTGCTGAGATAGTGGAGGGCAGTACAGTGAACCTGATCTGTATCAGTGATGCTAACCCAGCAGCTACTTACACCTGGTACAAGAATGACACATACCTGTATACTCTTAGTGAAGTGCTTGTCTTCAGCTCCATCCAGTCCTCTGACACTGGACTGTATTACTGTGCAGCTGAGAACAAGCTGGGGAGGAGGACGACTGAATACTTTATTGACGTGAAATGTGAGTAAAAACCTTATTTTAAAAAACAAATATTACACATAGCAAATAGTTTACTTGCTAACATATGTATGGGAAATATAGTTATGTGGACAAATGTATTTTTAACTAAAACACAGCTAGAAATCTTTGACACGTCATTCATAGCTGGACTTTAAATAGTATTAACTTGTCTGTAGACTACTGTTCAACAAAGTAGGATATATATTGTCAAACACAATTTAAAGCAGCTATGTGGAACTTTTTACCATTAAAACTGTCCCTAGTTCGTATCACCCCACCTTGAAGATCCGCATATTTATTTGAACTCAACAGCGACAAAAAAGCCTTTCTCTATATGGCTATTTAGCGTAGCCTCGCTCGGGTCGGACACACAGCGGAAGTCAGCAAACCAGTATACGGCACCCGGGGCGGAAGTGATTCTGCTCGCCCGCAGCGGCCCGCAGTGATTAAACCACAGAAGAAGGAGCCGTGTTTACAGTGTTCTTTGAATAAGCAGTACGCAACGGGCATTGCTGAACACATAACACCTAACAGTTTTACCAGAGATGTATCTATGAGGACTTGGTTGTACTTTTGATGTCATGGCGGATAACGAAGGAGCATCATCTAAAATTATTTGTGACTGTGACCATGAACACAAATATACAGCAGGCAGTTGTCCTCAGTTTATAAGAAATTCAGAGCTACACCAGAACATTTATGAACAGGCCTTACTTTACTACTAATATGTGTGTAACGTTAGCATGTTAGCATGTTTCCACTAATTAGTTGGACTGACCTGACGTTAGTAGCGTTAGCTTTGCAAGCGAAGGCTGCAGGTAACAGCTTTGCTGTGTTAGGATTATGTTATGTCTTCACTGTGTATCTTCACATAAAAGAATACTCCGACGATTTGGGAGTTATGCCCTCTTCTATCATTTTTATATTGAGACAACATGATCGATATCTTTTTTGTGTCTGTACATCCAGTGGCTGGGTCTCAGCGGTTAGCATTGCACTTATAGGGGGTCAGTACGTCCTGCGCTGTGATCCGCGGAGGGATACACCAGTGAGCAGGCACAGACGTAGCTTGTTTACAAGCTTGTAAACAAAACTCAGCTGTTTATTTAGCCTAGCAATATCTCCGGACTATAGTAGCTGCAATGGACGACTTTGAACGCGATTTTGAAGAGTTTCTTGTAGCGGACACAGATCCAGAGCCATACCTGTTTGAGCCGGAGCATACAGATGAGGAACTCCATGTGTTGGATGCTGAGCGGGCGAGAAGAGAGGCTGAATCCTCCGCTCCCATTTTGCTGCACAGAATGGGACTCGGTGCTACCATCGTTGGGGAGATATATCATCAGGAGGAAAACTGCTGCAGAGAGTGCATCACAAGGAGTGAAAACTTTGCAGCAATCACTAATCCTGGCGTGATTGAAACTTTTTTTCATGTTCCTAAGATGAACTGGAAAAAACGCCCCAGGCCTGCAGGAGCTGATGGACAGCTTTCAGTCTGGTGAGTAATATCGTCCGTGTCTTTTCTTTGTTTGCTTTTACTGAGTGACCTAGCGTACCTGTCCTAGAGCCAGCTGCAGCTGTTGCTCACCGGTGTATCCCTCCGCGCAAGTACTGACCCCCTACAAGTGCCATGCTAACCGCTGAGACCCAGCCACTGTACATATGAAAATGATAGAGAAAGGGCATAACTCCCAAATCATCGGCGTATTCTTTTCACATAATAATGCGGACTCAGCAGATGACTTGTTAACTGTTTGTTCCTCCTTACACCGAATGTACACGGCTGCTTCTCATTGTTTCCAGTAGCACAACAATGGTTACTACATTACCTAGAATAACTTGAGGCTCACACTACTACAGTAGCCTTAGTAGCTCAAAATACACAACAGATTAGATCAGAACAGAAACAATACAGGAGAATTTACTAAGTAATTTTGCTGTTTCCACTAATTACTTGGACTGACCTGACGTTAGTTAATCCTCTCGCTCTCCAAAACAAATGCGTGCGGTAATTGCCAGTTGCAGTCGAGATTTTACGACACCAGGCTGCGGGTGTCATACCGCTTCGACCAAAGGGGCGCTATAATCAACGAAAACGAAAAGTTCTGCACAGCTGCTTTAAATAGACAAAATAAAGCATTTAACTGCCTACCTACTTAATTATAGTAGAAGCACAAATATCAAGGAAAAATAACCAAATAATATTAATAATTTTATTTATAAGAGCGCCTTTCAAGTCACCAAAGGACATTTTACAAATCCAGATGAGATGGTCAGTACATAATAAAAGATAACGACAAACAACAATGATAACAAAAAACAAAAATAGCTCTGGTTCGATCCAGGTGTGGGAGCCCCTCTGTGCGGAGTTGGCATGTTCTCCCCGTGTCAGCGTGGGTTTCCTCCAGGTGCTCCAGCTTCCTCCCACAGTACAAAGACATGCAGGTTAATTGGTGACTCTAAATTGTCCGTAGGTGTGAATGTGAGTGTGAATGGTTGTCTGTCTCTATGTGTCAGCCCTGTGATAGTCTGGCGACCTGTCCAGGGTGAACCCTGCCTCTCACCCAGTGTCAGCTGAGATAGGCTTCAGCCCCCCTGCAACCCTCAACAGGAAAAGTGGTTAGAAAATTGATGGATGGAAGAACAAAAATAATGAAATGCAAATACAGATAAAATGAAATCCACAAAATGGGGTAGGCAAAACAATGTGCCTCTGAAACAGTCCCTCCTGGCTCCCTTACAGTTTAGACGGATGTGAGGATAAATATGGGGAGTCATCTCATAACATGCCTAACTTCAGTGGATCATAACAAAGCGGGTATGTAATTAATTTTTGTTCATGTAATTGTTCAAATAAGTCCAAACTTTTCTATGGATATCAGAGTTTGAGCCATGACAAAGGCCAAAATGTGGCCTGCATCAGACAGTACAGGTGGTTGTTTCAGCCGAGCCGAATTCCATAAAAATTATGGCTCCTATCTTCCGGTGAGGAGGAGTGAGGAGTCAGCACTAATGACGCGATAAAACAGTCAATAAAACAGGATTTTCAACAGTTGTGAATCACTGCAAACACAACAGGTCCTAAATCATACAGTCACAACAGATGGAAACACACACTCAACCATGCACACATACAGTAAGACCAAAATCATGATATCCTCCAGGTGTGGACGGATTGTGAGACAATGAGCCCCTGGGTGCAGACATGCAGAAGTCCCCAACACCTCTCTTACACAGGAGCAAGACACACTTTGTTAAGCCTCTGTTGTTGGTTTGTGTCTCTGTTTATTGTGTCTCTTTGTGGTTGTTTCATGTTTCTTTGTGGTCGTTTTGAGTCTCCCCCTGGTCAGCACGTGTGTCCTCGTGTGACATTTTGCAAGTGCAGGCCAAGAGGACCACTGACACTTTGGGCCTCTGGGCCTGTGTCCTGCAGGCCCAAATCCTTCCATGCCTTCAGGCGTACGCCCAGCAGACATAAAACGCTAGAGTTTGTGAGGCAGTATGTGGCTGCACTTCTGAGTAGCTGTGTTAGATGCATGAGGGACAGTACAAGTCACTGTTGACATCCAGATTTGCCCTGCTGCTTGCTGCTGTTGTGACATAACTGTTTAAATATGTGTGGCACTAAAGCAACGCATCCTGCTTTTGTAGTAAATTGATGTTCCCACATCTCCTCCAGATGCTCCGAAGCTTCCCTCTGTGTCAGTGAGTCCCTCTGGTGAGATAGTGGAGGGCAGATCAGTGAATCTGACCTGTAGCAGTGATGCTAACCCAGCAGCTCAATACACCTGGTACAAGAACAACCAAACACTGCTTCAAGGACCAGAAGACATCTATCAGTTCAGCTCCATCAGCTCTGAGGACAGAGGGATCTACCACTGCAAGTCTGAGAATCAGTATGGAGAGATAAACTCTTCATCTCTGTATTTAGATGTGCAGTGTAAGTCATGTGATTAACAAGTCTACTGTATTCCTTGTGATGCAAAAAGTCTGTCTATATCACGCATGCTAATATTTAATGATCAGCCACAACATTAAAACTATTGGCAGGTAAAATAAATAACAATGATCATTTCGTTCCTGTGCAGTATTCTGCTGGGAAACCATGGGTCCATGCATTCATGTGGATGCCATATGACATGCACCACCCATCCAAACCCTGTTGCAGACCAAGTTTCCCCCCCTCGCAGCAGCGGCACACCATGACGGCATCGGCAGCAGGACAGTGCTCAATGCCACACTGCAGAACTGCTCAGGGACGAAACAAAGAACATGATAGAGACCTCAAGACACGAACATGGCTTCCAAATTCTCTAGGTCCCAATCAGGGCAGACTCTGATCCGTCATACCTGTCGAGGCATGGACACAGGACCTCTGGGGGGTTATTGGGTGTCTGGCACCAGGGCAATAGCTGTAGATCCTTTGAGACCTGCATGCTGTGAGGTGTGGTACCGGCACATCCCAGACACTGATGCTTGATCAGATTGGAATCTGGTGACTGTGGAGGCCAAGTCAGTGCCTTAAACTCTTTGTCATGTTCCTTGGGTCATTCCTGAGCAGTTTTGTGGTGTGGCTTGGTGCATTGTCCTGATGGTGTCAGGAGTGCTGCTGCCATGAGGGGGTGCACTTTGTCTGCAGTGGTGTTTTGGGTGGGTGGAGCGTGTCAAGTGGCATCAACATGAACTCCAGGACCCAAAGTTTCCAAACAGAATATTGTGGACGCCCAGTAGCTCATCAAGTAGCTGGGCAGGCATCTCACGTGCAAAGGCGATGTCCTTGCCACAGGGGCCACAGATTCGCCCTCAGCCCGTGGCCGTTTGCAGCATGTCATCGCATGATTCTCTCTCCCCTTTTCATGTTTAAGCTTTCCTGTCAAATAAAGGCAAAAGCCAAAAATTAATCTTAAAAAAAGAATATTTGACTGTAACAAGAATTATCTGTGTAACTAACATCACCTGTCAGTGGTTTGAAAGTTGCGGTTGATTGTTGTAATTAAAATATTTCTCTAAATACTTTCCTTCAGATGCTCCAAAGCTTCCCGCTGTGGCAGTGAGTCCCTCTGCTGAGATAGTGGAGGGCAGTACAGTGAACCTGATCTGTAGCAGTGATGCTAACCCAGCAGCTACTTACACCTGGTACAAGGAGAATGAAGATTCACCAAAAGCATCAGGACAGATCTTCACCATCATTGACTTAAGAGCTGAACACAGTGGGAATTATTACTGTGAAGCCCAGAGCAGCAGAGGACGTCATCGCTTCACCATACATCTGACTGTTGTGGCAGGTAAGTCTTACGATTGCATCTGAACTCTTGAAGTTCTTTCTTATGATTTCTTATTAGCCTTTTTTTTTCCTATGAGACCAATGGGAGCAATCATCATATAACCCCCCTGTTTTTATTAGATTCCTACTTCACAGAAGAATGTAAACTAATAATGGCTGGTACTTTAAGTGCTTTGTCAGTCTGTGGCATATTCATCTTTGTGTTGCTGTGCATCAGGTGAGCAAAAAATCAATGTTTATTGAAACACTGAAAATTCATGAGTCATAATGCACATTCAGTTCTTCGGTTAATTTATTTTTCAATCTTTCTTCCAACCAGGAAAAAGGGGGCCTCTAAGCAACCAGCTCAGCCTCCAGGAAAACCAGATAACAGTGCACAGGTGAGATCACTGTACAAAGGAGCATTCCACATTTCACACAGCTCACACAGCTGTAAAAGTGAACTTGTAGTCAGTGTTATCTTGACTTTATGCTGATGACACTCAGCTTTACGTGGCCGTGTGTCCTGATGACACTGGACCAATTGACTCACTTTTTAACTGCATTTTAGATATTAAGGCCTGGATGTCACAGAAGTTTTACAGCTTAACCAGGACAAGACAGAAGTACTGATCATTGGTTCAAAGGTTCAGAGAGAGAAACTGACCTCTAAACTAAATACATTTGGTCTAAACTCAGGTCAAGAGGCAAGAAATCTAGGAGTGACATTTGACTCTGATCTTAATTTTAAGCCACATATACGCTGTCACAAAAACAGCTTTTTATCATTAAAAAAAAAATTTCCAAAGTGAGGCTGTTTCTCTCTCTGACCAACACGGAGAGACTAATGCACACTTTTATAACTAGCAGGCTAGACTACTGTAATGCTCTCCTTTCTGATCTACCCAAGAATACAATTAATCAGCTGCAACTGATTCAAAACTCTGCAGCATGAGTTCTTACTCAGACCTAGTCTCGCCACCAGACAATCAGAGATCTCCGCCTTCTGATAGTCTGGGGACACTCCTTTCTAAAGTGTGTTTAACACACCGGCGAAAATGGCCGGCAACAAAGCAATGCCTCTTGCATTTTTGAAAAGGTCACGCCTTCTCGGAAATGTGCGTTCCCCCTTTTCTCGTCTGCAAGGAAAAAAACACAAAGAGAGCTTGAAAATGGATGCCGAGAGATTAAACTCCGTTTTATCAAACGTGTGCTCATCCGTAAAAGAAAATATTTTTCCAGCGGATGTCTTAGTTACAACATGATTGATCTAACTGGAGTAGTTTCATGTCGTATCCGACAACGGGAGACTTTTAACAGATGACGTCCTGATGTTAGCTTTGCTGCTGCTGTTAGCTGTCTCTGTCAGCTGCAGCCACTGATGCTGCAGTGATTTCCCAAAACTGAATAAATA